CGCTTGTGGCAGGGTACATATACGCAACAGGTTGACAAATAAGAAAACGACAAGTTGACAAAAACTTGATACAATTTATTTAGTCTGACGTTTCTGAACTGAGCAGTTAAAGATATTTTCAGTTTTTAATGACCTAAGTATGAAATGCTGATTCAAATGTGATAGCGTGAAGCAGTATGTGTAAATATCATACCGATTTCCTTATTACCTTCGCCAAGAAGGTAATGTTTTTTAGTAGCGTTGTCCGTCCGTCTGTCCGTTTGTGCAGCATAACTCAGATATGCATAATTTATGAGGAAGTGCTAAAATAGCCTTTTTATTAAGATAAGACTGTCATTGGGTGGAGAATATGATCAACTGATATAATCCATGCAAATGAGGCTCTTATTTGCAAAATCAATGATTAAAATTGTATAATTCATCAACCGCAAGGGTTAACATCACTTGGCGAAGGTATGAGATCGTGGAACTCTTGTTATCATTTGAATCTCTGAGAATAGGTGTTGGCGGTTCCAGTTGCTAACAGTTCTGATACTGAATGCTTGACTGCTCACCCGAGTCTTTCTAGAAACCCGAATCCTAGAATGCTGATTTTTATTCATGCTATTCAGCACAATTAAAAGTACAATACAAGTCAGTGAACGGATATATAGCCAGTATATGCCAATGAACAGTATATCATTGAAACGTCGACATGAACGAAAGAAATATTTTGATTCTAAAAAGTATTTGAAAATGCTTTGTTTTATTTTATAGGTGATGTTGTCATGAGGGCATAAATGACATAATAAAAGTCATGATTGGCCTTCCTGACAAGAAAGTAACTATTTATCATATTTCAATAGAATAAGATGCAAAGGTACGTTTTACCGCAAATAGCAAAGTTTATTTCAACAAAAAGAAAACTGATCGGTGGTTCAGCTATGATGGGATTTCTTACATCACCAATGAACCTTACAAACCGTATGTTATCATACGTGAGATACTGTACAGTTACTAGTCAGTAGTGTACATGATATGTGATCCGTTGGGGGATACTGAACAGGTACTAGTCAGTAGTGTACATGATATGTGATCCGTTGGGGGATACTGAACAGTTACTAGTCAGTAGTGTACATGATATATGATCCGTTGGGGGATACTGAACAGTTACTAGTCAGTAGTGTACATGGTATGTGATTCGTTGGGGGATACTGAACAGTTACTAGTCAGTAGTGTACATGATAGGTGATCCGTTGGGTGATACTGAACAGTTACTAGTCAGTAGTGTACATGATAGGTGATCCGTTGGGTGATACTGAACAGTTACTAGTCAGTAGTGTACATGATAGGTGATCCGTTGGGTGACACTGAACAGTTACTAGTCAGTAGTGTACATGATAGGTGATCCGTTGGGTGACACTGAACAGTTACTAGTCAGTACGGATGGAATCACTAGTCAGTAGTGTACATGATATGTGATCCGTTGGGGGATACCGGACAGTAGTGGTAGTAAGTCTGGGTCGAAGACGTCTCCTTGTAGTTGATCTTCAACTGGAACTCCAGGTCTCTCTCCTGTAGACACAGAACGAATATATGAAAATGTTCATTAATAAGAAATATTCTCCCACGAATCAAAAAAAAAGTCTAATATACTATCATCACATAATAAAATAATAATGCATTTCTACGTCAAGTTCGAAAATGATATCTGTTGCACGATATGGAAAGGGGCGTGAGGTTGTGAAAAATAAATCTAACATGTTCTCAGTTGTGTGCGTAATATAGCTATCTAAATGTGTGTGTAGCTCATTTCTTGTCAAGGCAACAAGGCACGTAGCCTCTAACATGTAGCTTCCACCAGGCCTTTCTACGGGAATACGGATCGTAAAATTCGGCAAAAAAAGAGAATAAAATGGGTCAAGAGAGTCCGGTCGCGGGGAGGTAGTTTCTTTCCCGTATAAGGCGACCAAACTCCCCTGGCAAATGTTCTCCTATATATAGCCAGCGTAGTTTGTCTGGTAGAGACTATCTAACATGCTTCATAGGCGACCGAAAAGAGTAGAAATTGGCCAAATAGACAAATAACATGCCAGGGGATTTGGTCGCTCAGGACCAGAAGAAACGACAAACGAGGACAGTATGTCTTTACCCCGCATGGTTTGACGGACAAGGAGCCTTGAATCTCGTCTCCCTCCTTCACGTCCAGTGCTTCCCCCAGATGGAAAGCTAGCTGTCCCCAGTGAGTGGATTTCGCCTCTGGACCTGGTCATATTAGGGAGAGAAAACATGATTGAGTTTTTTTTTATCAATTGCTTACGTCACGTATCAGTAAAGTCTCGTGTGAATAAGGTCACGTGCTTGTAAACCGTAACTCTCGCGAGATCACGTGAAGTGATTGGTCATTAACTATCCTGATGAAGGCGACAGTGGTCGCTGAAAATTTGATCTCTCCGTAAACTGTGTGTTGGAATAAAGTTTAACGTTTTACTATGATTGAGTTAGTAAGCACAACTAAACCTGAGATTAGTAAGCACGAGAAATGTTTCAAACGAGAAGGCAGCTTCATTTAACTACACAAATGAGTTGACCAGGAAAACAAAATCTATTAGCCCAAAAGATTAACAAGATTTAGCACATTGGCAGAACGCACTGTGCTTGCGCGAAACCCGGATTTTTCACGGTTTTTGTTGGATGTCTTTTTTTTATATTCCAACAAGACGTGGTGACGGCACACTCAAGTTTTTTCAACTTATATTAATGCCGCCACCAACACAGGGGACAAATACACTCATTTTCACCTGAGCGAAGTGAGAAAAGTCGTGTAAAGTGCCTTTCCCAAGGGCACAAGATCGGTGGCATGTCAGGACTCGAACCCGGGACCTCTAGGTTCCGAGTCGCGCACACTGCTGCTACGCCACACGACCCCACTCTAAATGTTGTTGGACGTTGGATGTGCATCAGAATTTTGCCCGTTCCAAACCCTTACCCATAATGGTATGTACCAACACAGACGAATTTCGAACTCTTATGTCAAGATGATAGAAAAGCCTGTACACAGTACCTGTAGACAGTACGTCCGAGTTGTTGAAATGAATATCAAAGTAGATGGCGAGGGAGTGAATCTTGTCGTTCTTCTTGCACTTGAGAGTGAAAGGCGTGGAGAAGTAGACATCATCCTCAGTACAGGTGGACCAATCATATTCCTGAGAAAAAAATAACGTTAAAATGTGACATATAAACGTGGGGTGATATTTTTTTCACGTGTTTTTATCACAGACAAAAAAAAAAACATTTTCCATGACATTTTTCATACAGGGAATACAATACAAGGCTTAGAATTTCAGGAAACATAATGGTTACAATTTCCGGAAATGCAATACAATGCTTACATTTTCCAGAAATGCAATATTATGCTTGCAATTTCCGGGAATGCAATATAATGCTTGCAATTTCCGGGAATGCAATACATGTATTACAACTTCCAGAAACTCACCTTGAGAAGTGCTGGTTCGGTGACGACTTGGTTTTCTTTCAGAGGCACGTGCCAAGCGTAGGACTTGGCGTGCTTTCCCATCTCGGAGAAATCAAACCCATAGACGTCGTTCCAATCTGCAACCAGACATGATTTTTTTTTTATATTCCGAAACATGTAATCACAAGACGTGGTGACGGCACACTCAAATTTTTTCAACTTATATTAATGCCGCCACCAACACAGGGACAGTACAATATTCATTTACACCTGAGCGAAGTGAGGAAAGTCGTGTAAAGTGCCTTTCCCAAGGGAACAAGATCGGTGGCATGTCAGGATTCGAACCCGGGGCCTCTGGTTCCGAGTCGGGAACGCTGCCGATACGCCACACGACCCCACATGATTTCATTGCGTTATCCTTAAAACACTACAATTTTGGTTACATAAAATTAGCCGCAATTGTTTTATTGTATCAATCCGTACAATTAGATAACATACACACGATATAAGTACATGTTATGCTATGTCAGTACCTCAAAAGATTAACACTAGTGTATAATGTTTTTGTGCCTTTTGTCTATCGTACATTGTATGATAGTATTTCAAGATTAGGCCACAGCAAGTAAATTTTATGGATGACATCTTCCGCAGACTCCAAATATAATGCGAGCGGGCGAAAAAAAACAAGACGGGGCGAAAAAACAAGGTTCCTACATTTTAAAATTTTGACTCAATCATGTTACAAATGGTTTTGATTCAGTGGGAACATCACATATACACAGCCAGTATCACATATCACTGCATCAAAGTGAGAAACAAAACATTAAATCAGAGCCTTTTCTTGTTTCCTCTCTTCGTAGTTATCTGCATGGCAGCAGGCATCTTTGCCCATTTTCGGCATGTTGACCACTGTCAGAAGGCAACAAAATTTTTTTTCCAAAATCAGCCGAAAATTGATGCACGTGCTGATGTCATCCTTAAAAATTACTTGCTGTGGCCTTGAGTGTTTTACACGCAATTGAGGGATTAGTTCTTTGTGTGTGAATACGCAATAAGAATCATTACATACATCCAATATGCCTGTCGTGTAGCTTTGCGGCCTCCACACCACAGATGTACAAGTTGTTCTTGTCAGGCAGAAGCATACCACCAGGTTTCTACAATATAAAGGATAAAAGAATTAATATCTCCGTAAATAATTTCATCAGGTTGGTAAACGACTGAATAGCAAAGTTCTCTATCACAACCATTTATTTTTCACGAGCCGACGTTTCGATGACCGTCTGTCATCTTCATCAGGGCAATTTTGACTGGTTTACTGTGCACTAACACTGCACTGTACTGACATGTAACACCGTTAGTGCACTATGCACCAAGTAACATCTAGCGTCAGTGCACAGTAAACCAGTCAGAATTGCCCTGATGAAGATGACAGACGGTCATCGAAACGTCGGCTAGTGAAAAATAAATGGTTGTGATAAAAAGAACTTTGCTATTCAAGAATTAATATCATTTGAATATATCAGCATTTATCGATGACAAAATCACAGAGAGAGTAGACACATTCATGCAATTTTAAGCACTCCGTCATTTGATTGCACAAAGTAATAAAATGTTGTATACGTATGTTCTGAGTTTATATGCATGAACAGTTTGGTTCTTTTTGTTTGAATAGTCTAAATCTAAATATATAAAAAGAACTTGAAGAGAACATATTGACGATATAGCACTTTCTTTTCTTTTTTTTTAGAACTGATCATAGCAATGTTCTACACAATGTGCATGGTGTATAGTCTTGGTGACCTCAAATTATTGGTTAAAATATTATCAAATCTACACATAATACTTTCCAAAAATTCCTGGTATAACAAAGGGCCATAAAAAACTAGAAAAGATTAACGACATAGCACTTTCTGTTTTCAGAACTGATCATAGCAATGTTCTACACAATGTGCATGGTATATATTCTTGGTGACCTCAAATCATTGTTTAAAGTATGATCCAATCTACACATAATAATTTCCGAAAAATTCTGGCATAACAAAGGGCCATAAAATACCTGCCGTGACTGGTTTTCTGCCATGTATTATAACCAACCAACCAACCAACCAACCAACCAACCAACCAACCAACCAACAAATAAATAAACAAACAAACACTATTGTTTATCGTCTACTGGTTTTATGTATCAGTTTTCTTGTCATGTATGTGCGTCTCGAATTTTTGTTTGTGCCATGATTTTCTTTTTCTTGAAATGAATAAAACGAAGGAACCTGAAAACAAACAAACAAACAAACAAACAAACAAACAAACGAAAAACTCACCAGGAACCTGTTTCTTGCATGGATGAGTGAACGTATGCCGACTTCGTGGATCAGCCCCACTCCCATGATCTCACTAATGATGATGTCCACCTTCTCTACTCCTGCCAGTTCTATCTCCTGAACCTTGGCGTTTACTATGGTGATCACTAGATGAAAGATAGATTTTTTTGAAAATGTTAACCAAACACTAGAGAAGTAACATTTGCAAAGCATATGCATAATGTTTACCTTCGGACATGGTCTGCTCTGTTAATTCTTACTCAAAAACATTCAAATACATTGTGTTTATTCTTACTCAAACACATTCAAATACATTGTACATAGTACTAATAGTATATGGTGACAGGAGCAGAGCAGACCATGAAATTGCAACATTATGTAACCCAACACCAGTCACCATGGTGACAGACATCAACAAATCATGTCATTGGTCAGGTTAGAGGTCACTGTTTGGAGAAGAAGAAGAGGAAGAAACGGAGCAAAAACTATTTTTTTTTCCTTCGGTAAACGTAATTAGAATTTAAATATTGGATCAGTAGCTTCATCAGGTATGGTGTATGGTGGGATGTAATCACGTTGTTTGGCAAAGCGCCATCTAGCGACAAAAAGTATGTTGCAGACAACCACCTGCATGCATATTCTCATAGCATCAAACACTCACCGTCCTCAAGTCCATTCTCCTTCACGATTCCCATGGCTTGCTCCGCCACGGCACTTTCTTCTAACTACAAAAGACACAGGACATCAATTTTAATGTTGTAGTTTGATTCACACCTCATTCTATAAAATGCCACCCACAACAGATTTCACACACATTACAGTCTTGACCTGCCATGTACTTGGACCACTTCTTGTGGGTGTACCTCTTGTATTGCTTCTAGACCGCGCACTAAGTCTTATTTCATCAACACAATATATTATAACTACTTATTAGATATACATGTATTTGAATTATGCTTAACCTTATATATTGATATATTTCTTACTTGTTATTGACTATGTAAATTTTGATGTTGTATAATATTATGTGTTTTTGTATGGGGGAGGGCAACTTGTAAAGGTGCGTATGCACCTGTTTTGCCCTCCCTTTCACTTTGTGAAAAATCATAATAAACAAATAAACAAATGTGCCACATGCGTGAAAATACCAATGAATATTCCGTCTAAATTCATATTACAAGCAAGATACATATTCTTGGTTATCGACATGCACGCAAATTAGAAGAAAAATAAAATTAACAAAATATACATAGAATAGCAAGTTCAATGCTAGATGGATTATATATAAAAGCAATAATCGTGTATCATAAACAAAAAGAAATATGTTGCTGTCTTACCCCGATGACCTTCCTTGCGCCCGCTTGAGCAGCAAACAAAGACATCATGCCCAGACCACAGCCGATGTCTAAGACAACTTTTCCCTCAAACAGGTCTTTGTTCTTGAGGATGGTGTTCTTATAGAAGTCCGTCCGTACCCTGTCCTCCAGGAGACCCTAAAAAACAACAGGAATGGGGCGTTAGGTATAATCACTATATCATTTTATGGATGAAAACATATCATTAAACATAAAGCATATCATTAAATGAAAACGGAGTCACCCAAATACTGGGACAGTCGGCATCTATAGGGCAGACACCACAATTGCGTTGCACAGTAGAGGCCCAAAAATGGTAGTTCCTAGTTAATATCTTTGAAAATCCTTTTTTCTTGAAAATTTTGGTCCAGCTTGGAGATTTTTTGGCTAGAAGGAACAGGTAGGGTCTAAACTTTCCTACTTCGATCAAATTTTGTTCATTTCACCAGTTTAGTGGGCATAATGAGAGACCTGAGTGATGTGATGCCCTTAGGGCGGATGGATACATTAGAAAATTAGGTCAAAAGTAGGGTCTGTTTACTATCATCAGCTGTAGCGGGAATTTGACCAGGTCGACCCCTTGTTTCCTTTCTATATTTGTGAAGCAGACCCTTGTGGCTACCTGGTGCAGAAGAATTTTTGAGATTGAAGGATGGGAAAATACTTTCATGAGGACTTCTTTTAGTGTATTTAGGCATTTGTTCCTATGGCCAGATTTAAATTTAATAGTACTGTCTGCCCTATACGTAATTCTGACATTGTGTCTGCCATTTAAAACAGACAACTAGTAAAACTGTCTAGATTGCACAAAATAGATGTTGTCTTGGACCCCACATATAGAAATATACCCATATACATTGGCATTGATAAAAAGACAAACATTATTATGAACTAGAGATTAACATTTGCAAAGCAAATGCATAATGTTTACCTTCGGACATGGTCTGCTCTGTTAATTTTTACTCAAACACATTCACATACATGTACTACTGGTATATGGCGACAGGAGAAGAGCAGACCATGAAATTGCAACATTATGTAACCCAACACCAGTCACCATGATGGCAGACGTCAACAAATCATGTCATTGGTCAGGTCAGAGGTCACTGTTTGGAGAAGAAGAAGAAGAAGAGGAAGAAACTGGGCAAAAACAATATGTTTTCCTTCGGTAAACATAAAAAAACCTACTTGGTGAAGATCTGGACGAGCGTAGGCGCTGATCCCGTCTCCTTTGAATATCTCCTCGTGGTTTCCGTGAGTCAGATCGCCGTTAGTACCATTTTCCTTCACCATGGTGCTGTTGTCTGAGAACTGTACAGAATTCTGTAACGCAAAATCAACAGGAGGCCATGTTCCTTGTTCAAAATCTTTTTAGTGACAGTTTCTTTCCCCGTACGGCCAAGCTTTGGAATTCTCTCCCTGACAAGTGTTTCCCACCAACTTACAATCTACAGGCTTTCAAATCAAACGTTCACTGCCATCTCTTGACATAGCCATGTTTCTCTCATATTTCTAGTTCAATGCCGAGAAGTGGTCGTATAGGCCTTGCATTGAACCACTCCGTTAAAAAAAGAAAGATGCAAAAAGAGGGTATTCAACAGGCACGGTTTAGTCAGTCTGGACTGGACCGCACCAATGATGTAAAACAAGCTTTAGACAATGAAAGTAGCAAAGAAGAACGACCAAGAAACGTTTAAATTTGACAGAATTTACTTTGAACAAACATTAGCCACAGTACTAGTTATATATGTGTCCAGTGATAGACACAGGTCTCTGGTGTCAGGAAATGTATATGTGCAATCTTAGAATACCTGAATCTATAATACTAAATCTTAGAATATCTGAATCCATAATAACATTTCATGGGTCGACAACAACATCAAGACTACCATGAACTACATATTTATAAAAAGATACATGTACTGATTCATACTCACATTTCATGAGTGGACGACGACATGTAATACGAACTGACTTTATAGAATAATATGATAAATATGTGCAAACTTCTAAAGCAAATCCTCATTCCATACGGATATGAGTTTGGATGAATTAACAAAGTGTCGATAGTGAAAAGTTTATTGCAAATACATGCCCGAGGGCTAATTGCAGTTAAAACAATATAAGAAATAAAATACAGTGGTGTGTGAGACTATATCTACGTCTAACATTATACTACATTCTACAACATACATGGTACTAGTTTTACTGGGTTTGACTTCTTCTTTTTAGGCAATGGAAGACGAATTTACCCACTTCTTCTATAATATGTGGGTTCTTTGATTTTAGTAGTAAAATTGTTTTCTTGTGGTAGGGAATAGTGGGGGAAGTAAGGGAGCATTTTGGACACGGTGGTAAATAATTGTTTTCTGATGTCGTCCTAAAATGGACAGTTAGAGATGGAATGAATTTCGTCTTCCACTGCATTTGAGGAGCAATATTTCCATATCCTCTCCGACACAGGTACTTTCATATATTGCCATTTTTCGACTCCAAGGAGTGGGCACTGATTCTAATTTTACTAATAGCGAACTGATCGAAGTCACAATGTTCTAGGTATTGTTCTAAACAGTATTCAGTTTTACATTTTCTATAAAATACCGGTATTAACAGACAAACTATGGACGAAAAAGAGCGGGACTCACCTGTAGTTGTCAAAGGTCGCTGGACAGAGTGAAAGTCTGGTCTGGGCGCTGGTTTATATCAGTTTATAGGACTTGTCGGGAAAGTGGTGTAACCAGATGTACTGCTTCAGACAACCTTGTTATCCAGACAACCAATCAACATGTAAATAGGTCAGCAGCTGCTTTAATTATTGGTTGGAAAAGAATAAACGATACTTGTCTGACAAAATGTCCCTGGTGACTACAAAATTGTCGACAGGATTCTGGATCAGTAAAAAAACATTGTCTCACAATTTCAGTTCATTGTCTCACAAGAACGAGTATCTAGTACACATGTTTTTTTTTTAAATTTTATTTCAAAACTTTATTCGACAAAACAACAAAAATATACAAAGACAACAGTAAAATAAGAGTGTACACACACACACACGCTAAATTACACATTACATTCTTTCCATATTTGAAAGATCCCTCCATTTGCTGCAATGTCTAATTAAATTATTTCGTTCACACATGTTATATCGTTCCATGATTTTTGAACGAGTTGTATGGAGCTGCAGCGCTTCCTGTTGATCTTCTTAGGGACTGCAGATTGAATAAAGCTGCTTTCTTGGCGCACTCTTGAATATGCATACAAACAACAATGTACACAAATTTTTAGGAGATGAAACAACAATATAAAACATAAGGATGTAGCTAGGTTTAGAATATTGCAAATCCGAAAGCACACAACAGAAATTGTCATAGATTTTTGTATGCGTTCTACTACTAATGCCTCTTGTTGTAAAACAGCATATGGTATTGTGTATTTTTTTGTGCCATATGTGTGTCATAAATTTTACTTCGAACTAGAAAGGCCGACATTTGCTTGGGAGCAAATACAGCATATTTCAGTCCACCTCCCTCCCACGCAAAAGTGGACTATTCCAAACTTACCCCAGTGCAAAACTGGCAAAGGTTCTCAGATAAATGAATTAAATAGCAGAGAACAAAGATGCAAGAACAAGCACTTTGAATCTTGAAAGCTTATTAATCTTATTACAGGTATGCAAAAACTAACAATGATGAGATTTGATACATTTTGAAGGTCTTAGGCACATAAAATTGAATGTGTGGGTCATTACGCACGACTTACGTGCAATGTGACCTCAGGTAACCCGCAATGGAACAAATGTTCCATGGCCAACGGCAGATGGAACGGACCATTCTTTAGGTAGAACGTGGAACGGGTATAGCACTTTTGGTCCTTTTTTGGCCTAAAATAGTCATTAAAGTCCCCTAAATGAGTCATTTGGAAGTGGTGTATGCCAAATATGTGACTGCTATTCTGTAGACACATGTTCAAGGTACCCTTATACCGAATTTCAGATCATTTGGTTGTAAAACCAGGGCTCAGGATCCAAAAATCCTTTTTTTTGTCGAAAAATGCCCCAAAAAACCTCCATGAAAATTTTTCTAAGGCATGTATCAAAAAAATGGAAAAAACGGCTGCGGGTATTGGCCCACTCTACCTCCATGCCAAATTTCAAGTCATTTGGCTGAATGATGGCGGAGTTGAATCTCTTTGACTGTTTGGCAGGAGAGGAAGAAACATGAGAGAACACAATATATTTCATCCATACCATGGTATGGACTGAACTATAACGTTAATGAAATGAAATACCTTCATATGTACGTTCATGCCACGACGGGCTAGGTACAGGTCAAGACTAACAGACACATAACAAACATATGTAGAAAAGTGTAAACAAAAGATACACTGATTGACTTAGACATACATGTACATACATAAGGAACATACAAGGATACTATACTAGGCTAATACAAAGTGTTCTAGTTACTGAGCTAATATAGAGTGGTAAACTTCTTCTCGCTTTTTTGTACAATAGAAAATATGGGAACAGATCATGTTTGTGATACAGGGTTTGTCTAGACGCATCAAAAATATAAATTAATCGTTTGCATTTAGGTGTTCGAATATATACTTTGACATGTCTTTGGCAACTGGCTGTGTTACCAATGTGTTATTGGAGCTTTTTATGTATGGACATGTGTTAATATGAATAAAAACTTTACGTAATTCACGAAAAAGGGAAGAAAAACAGTCTGTGCTACCTTCCTTTAAAATATTGGTGTTTCACTTTTCTACAAAATAATTAGATGTTACAGCAATTAACCAATCCCATTAAAATCATATTTGCTTGAGAGTCCCTGACCAAAGCTAGGTACTCATATTCAGCTGAGCTAACAATCGAAACACGTGTAAAGATCCTTTCTCAAGGGTACAACACCAAAAGCTTGAGACCATCTTCGTTGATGAGAAGTACGTGGGAGTAGAAAGAAAAGTTCATCATACATGAATAGTCTACCTGCTCGAAAAACCTCAATATCACTACTAGGTTAATCATACACATATTGTCTACTGGCTTTCAAACCTACACCCACATCCACAGACAAAGAAGTTGGATCAGTCCACTTTAACTCCTCCCAAGGGAGGGACAGCTTCACGTTTAAAATTCTAAATTGATAAACATGTTTCTACAAAAAAATTCTTTACGAAACCACTTTTCTTCACAGATCTTGTATTTCACTGCTGTAACCGATTTTTCGTTTTATCTTATGAACAAAACAATGTGGCCATTTTTTGGACTTCAGCGTTAAACACCCTGTTGTTTCTATATAATACCAGACAAGACACCTTTGCGGGGGAATTTATGACGTCTGTGGAATATGTTTATTCAATATCTATATCATCTCCCTGCACTGAGTCTCTATTTCACTATTGTGGTCGGTTCTCTCTGAAGACAAGTCGCCAGCCGAAGCCTTACTGTAAGTACAGAATGTCTTAATCTTCCTTCTCTATATCTCCATATCACCTCACCCTACAAGGTGTAGGTAATGTTAATGTTTTGATAGGTTTGGTAATGTAATGTAATTTGTTTGTAATTCTTATAATGACTCCAGCTGTTATGTAGTGTGTTGTAATTTGAACACGACACTACTCAACATGGTAATGTAACTGTTAAGGCGCATCTATATTTTCCCTACAAAGAAAGAATTGAAATCTAAGATAAACCTCAAGTTCACCGAGAAACATGTTCCATATCGATAAGCATTTATGCGAGGAACCGCTAAAATAACTTTCAGCAAAACCAACATGTCAGCTACAACGTAACCTCAGCTGAAACAACACGTGCTCCACGCACTGATAATACTTAGTAAGTAACTGTTTAGACAACCCTATATTTCCACCATAAAGAAATAACTGAACATTTATGGCATCAAGTTAGCCAAGAAATAGGCCACTAAACAACTTCAACTAAAAGCAACAATATAACTAGAAAGGCCGACATTTGCTTGGGAGCAAATACAGCATATTTCAGTCCATCTCCCTCCCACGCAAAAGTGGACTATTCCAAACTTACCCCAGTGCAAAACTGCCAAAGGTTCTCAAATAAATGAATTAAATAGTAGCTATATGAGAACAAAGATGCAAGAACAAGTACTTTGAATCTCGAAAGCTTTACTAATCTTATTACAGGTATGCAAATACTAACAATGATGAGATTTGATACATTTTGAAGGTCTTAGGCACATAAAATTGAATGTGTGGGTCATTACGCACGACTTAGGTGCTATGTGACCTCAGGTAACCCACAATGGAACACGTGTTCCGTGGATGGAACAGGCCAT